CGGGGGGGGGTTCGGGGGTCCCTCCCCTGAGCCCTCCCCCTCCCCCAGGCCGCGCCCCCCCCGCCCATGTCGGGGGTCCCGGGGTTCCCCATGGCCGCGCCCGCCCAGCCAATCATCGTCCTGGACGACGACGAGGAGGAGCGAGGCCCCGCCCCCTCCGCCCGAGGCCCCGCCCCCTCCGCCCCTCCCCCCCCGCCGGGGCCGCCCCCCCCCAACGGGGCCGGGGGGGGGAGGGGCGGCGCCTTCCGGGAGGAGAACGAGCGGCTGTTCCAGCAGGTGAGGGGCGGACAGGTGTGCACAGGTGTGTGAGGGTGTGCCCAGGTGTGCGAGGATGTGCCCAGGTGTGTGAGGGTGTGCCCAGGTGTGTGAGGATGTGCCCAGGTGTGCCCAGGTGTGTGCAGGTGTGGCCCAGGTTTGCCCGGGTGTGCCCAGGTGTGTGAGGGTGTGCACAGGTGTGTGAGGGTGTGGCACAGGTGTGCACAGGTGTGCGAGGGTGTGCCCAGGTGTGTGAGGATGTGCCCAGGTGTGCCCAGACGGGCGGCCAGGTGTGCCCGGGGGTGTGAGGGTGTGTGAGGGAGTGGCTCAGGTGTGCCCAGGTGCAATCTCAGGTGTGTGAGGGTGTGGCCCAGGTGTGCCCAGGTGTGTGTGGGTGTGCACAGGTGTGCCCAGGTGTGTGAGGGTGTGGCCCAGGTGTGCCCAGGTGTGCCCAGGTGTGTGAGGGTGTGCACAGGTGTGTGAGGGTGTGCCCAGGTGTGCCCAGGTGTGCACAGGTGTGTGAGGGTGTGCCCAGGTGTGTGAGGGTGTGCACAGGTGTGCCCAGGTGTGCCCAGGTGTGTGAGGGTGTGCCCAGGTGTGCCGAGGTGTGTGAGGGTGTGCCCAGGTGTGCCCAGGTGTGTGAGGGTGTGCCCAGGTATGTGCAGGTGTGGCCCAGGTGTGCCCAGGTGCAATCTCAGGTGTGTCTGGGTGTGGCGAAAGTGGGCCCAGGTGTGTGAGGGTGTGGCCCAGGTGTGTGAGGGTGTGGCCCAGGTGTGCCCAGGTGTGTGAGGGTGTGCCCAGGTGTGTGCAGGTGTGGCCCGCATGTGCCCAGGTATGTGAGGGGTGTGCCCAGGTGTGCCCAGGTGTGCCCAGGTGTGTGAGGGTGTGGCCAAAGTGGGCCCAGGTGTGTGAGGGTGTGCCCAGGTGCAATCTCAGGTGTGTCTGGGTGTGCCAAAGTGGGCCCAGGTGTGCCCAGGTGTGGCCCAGGTGTGCGAGGGTGTGGCTCAGGTGTGTGAGGGTGTGCCCAGGTGTGCCCAGGTGTGGTCTCAGGTCTCTTTGGCTGTGCCTCGGGTGTGTCCCAGGTGTGTGACAGTGTGCTTCAGGTGTGCCCAGGTGTATCCCAGGTGTTTCCAGTTCTATCCAGGTGTGCCCAGGCGTGTCCCAGGTGTGCCCAGGCGTGTCCTAGGTGTGCCCAGCTGTACCCTGGTGTGCCCAGGTATATCCAGGTGTAACCCAGGTGTGCCCAGCTGTACACTGGTGTACCCAGGTGTATCTCAGGTGTGCCCAGGTGTAACCCAGGTGTGCCCAGGTGTATCCAGGTGTAACCCAGGTGTACCCAGGTGTAACTCAGGTGTGCCCAGCTGTACCCAGGTGTGCCCAGGTGTATCCAGGTGTAACTCAGGTGTATCCAGGTGTAACTCAGGTGTACCCAGGTGTATCTCAGGTGTGCCCAGGTGTATCCAGGTGTAACTCAGGTGTGCCCAGGTGTATCTCAGATCTATCCAGGTGTGCCCAGGTGTATCTCAGGTGTGCCCAGGTGTAACCCAGGTGTGCCCAGGTGTATCCAGGTTTAACCCAGGGGTATCCAGGTGTAACCCAGGTGTGCCCAGCTGTATCTTGGTGTGTCCAGGTGTATCTCAGTTCTATCCAGGTGTGCCCAGGTGTATTTCAGGTGTGCCCAGGTGTATCCAGTTGTAACTCAGGTGTAACCCAGGTGTGCCCAGCTGTACGCTGGTGTGCCCAGGTGTATCTCAGGCGTGCCCAGGTGTATCCAGGTGTAACCCAGGTGTGCCCAGGTGTATCCAGGTGTAACCCAGGTGTGCCCAGGTGTATCTCAGTTGTGCCCAGGTGTATCTCAGTTGTGCCCAGGTGTAT